TCGCGAGTTGGACGCATAATCACGAAGAAAGCGTCTGAAATGTGCATGCATTCCAGCTGGGGAAACCTTTCCCTCTTATCTCTTTCACAATATTGAGTTTCAAATCTCAGTAAAGCACTGCATATTGTTGAGTATGAAGTAGTCTGGAAGTATATACATCAGTACTTTCAGACTGTACTCAATTTCATAATTAATTATGTAGTATTTTACGATTACAAATCTTCAGATTTATATAATACCTGACTATACTTGTACAACACAGTACAAGGCTGGCAGGTTTTTGTTTGAAATTCAAAGAAGAGAACGAAAGCTGCAGTTTTAATGAGGAGCTACTCTGGTTCCTTAACGTCCTCGAAACTACTGAATCTTAGTGTTTGAATTACAACGCAAGGTGAAATAATGAAGCATCCATTTCAGCGTCGTTTCCACATACTAGTAAATGAGAATAGCTGGGAAAAGTTCAAGCCAAAGAAGTTTAAAACTATCTAAAGATTTCTGTGTTTAAACATAGGAATTAAGTGGCAAGAAACAATAGCTCAAAACGAATAACACGAAACAGACATGAACATTAAACCCGACTGGAATGAACGACTAACTCCAATCCTTCACTTATCCTGTGCCGGGTTTGGCAAATTCCACTTGAATTTCTCAGTGCGAAACATGTAATGAATGGTATATTGATTAAGGTGTTTGCTATCATAATAATCAGGGAGTCCCGAGGGGAGGAGCCCACGTTGAAGGGAGCAGGATATTAATATGTGTGCCGCTGATTAACTGTATCTGATCTGAATCTTAAATGGAGCCGAACCAAGTACACAAAATCATAAACAGGCCTAACCCACAAACCCACTTTTTGCATCTTACATAACAGTCCATGTAAGGTTAATGCTTGGTCAGCTGGAAACAAAATTCACCGCTTTAACGCAACCTATAGATTCAGCACCCTATTCGCAGTTAATCTTGTCACTCCATTTGAATTCAGCCAATGCCATCTTACTCTATTTCTCCGCGAAATATTTTAATTTTATAAAAAAACACAATTAAATCATGTTGGAATCCAGTATGAATTTAAATTTTCGTTTCTTCATATACCTACTATATACGTATATACATACGCGCCATAGCTCAAGCTGTTAGTCGCTGGCTACCCACCGCGGCGGCCCGGGTCTGGTCAAGTGGGATTTGTGGTGGACAAAGTGGCGGTGGGGCAGGTTTTCTCCGAGTACTTCGGTTTCCCCTACCAATCTTCATTCCATCAATTGCTCCACAATCACCCTCACCTATCATCTGGGGCTGGTACAATAGGCCAGAAGTGGCCGCAGTACAAGGGACTTAGTCCCACCCCACTAGCAATAAAAAATATATGTATGTATCGTGAACAAATCCTTAACACGTGAAGAACTTAACAAAAGATTTGCTTCATTATTACTGTTACTGATGCGTCTCAAGCCTGTTAACAGCTTGAATGTGTAATCACCTCATGCTTATGAAATACAATTGTTTCCTTTGATTATGTTTGATATTTAAGTATGGCTTTTAAAATTCTGGTTTGAATATAATTTCATATCACCCGCATCATTCCTTTCCACTTGAATTATTCTGCTGCGTAATTGCAATTCAGTCCCTGCAAAGTATGCTAGGCATATATGCCGAATGTCCAGATGACGGAACTTGCTTTCGGACCGTAAAACATTACTTTCTTAAGCTCCATGTTCACAGATTTACTTACTGCTCCTTCCTTGCCGCATGCTCCAGTCATTCTTGTCCAGAGCCATAAACACTGTCCAATCTTACCGACTTTCATTACGCGTTCTCCGCGCTGGGCGCTAAGATTAACCCTAAGTGCCGAAGTCATTTCCGTCCATCCAGAAATTAGGCTTAATCTCCGATGCTACTAATCGGAATTCTATTACAACTGGCATTGGAGGTCTATACCAAAAAGTATACGAAAGATTAAATCTTAGTTCGTATAATTGAAATAAAATGAAGTTCTTAGAAGAATTCATCGCATACTGTAATTCACTGTAAGTTAAGCATCTGGTACGACAATTAGAAAAGTTTGATATTGTCACGTGTAGGGGGTACGCGTGACGAAATGACGGGTTCTACTTCGGATGATTGGATTTATTAACAGCTTCGTTACACACTCTCTCTTAATTACACTTAAATTACAGATCTATCGCTGATTTACATACATCTCATAATCCACTGTTACACGCACACACACTAATCCTCTCCTGGTAATGCAATAAAAATACAGAAAGTAGCACTTCGAATCACTGCAGATATCTCTGCACCACAAAACACACAAAGTCCTCTAAATCACACTTGATATCCTCACAGGCTGACCTCCTGCATTCTTCTGTACTCCGCATGTTTATCTCCGTTCAGAAATTAAAATTATATTAAGGGTATTACTTCAAAATTTCGGATTCTGTAGTGTTGGTACCGCTAATGAGAGGGAACTTTAAGTATGCCATTGAAATGGCCTCAGGTGGCATCACACATATACCAAGCCTCATGACGACAGCTTCAGGCATTCAAGTAATATTATGGGCATTACGTCAGCAATTTGAGAAGGTACGGTGTTGGTATTACTGATGAGACGGATATATGAAGTACACCATAGAGATGGCCTCAGTTGGCACAATATAGACTTACCAAGTTTCATGAAGATTGTTAAAGGTGTTCAAGCAATATTAAGTTTATGGCTCAGAAACTGAGAGGTTGCAATTTTGGCATTACTGATGGGAGGGATTTATGATGTATGGCGTTAAAGCATTATTAAGGTATTACCTCAGCAATTTCAATGGTTGTAACGCTGTTGTTTCTGATAGAAGGAATTTATGAAGTGCGCTGTTGAGATGAGCTCAGGTGGCACGATATGTGTCCAAAGATCCATAATGTTCGGTTCAGGTATTTAAGTGACATTGAGGTCATTACCGAAACAATTTGAGAGGCTGTAATGTTGATATTACCGACCAAAGGGATTTACTTGATATCCTGTTGAGATGGCTTCCTGTAGCATTATATGCATACCAACTTTCATGAAGACTGGTAAAGGAGTTGAAGCTATATTAAGGATTTTCCTGAGAAATTTTAGAAGCTCTAAAGTTGGTATCACTGATAGGTTAAATTCATGAATTATGCCGACCAGAATGGCTCGGGTGCCATGATGTACATACCAAGTTTCATAAAGATTGTTTGAGGCATTCAAAAGTTGTTTTGTGGGAGCTTGTAAGACACACATACCGCAAGGTCATTCATAATTTTCATTTCATAAGCCTAGTTGTATTTTTTAAAATAAGAAAAGTATGGTAAAAGAGGAAAATAGACGAAGAGAATAAAAATGGCGCTTTGTTGGTCGATAGTCTCACACTACTGGTACTGCATTACACATAAATCGTCACGATTTGTGATTAGGCAGCTGGTAAAATCTAGTGCCACAGATCCTCCCCTTCCTGTCCGGTCGAAGGATGAAAGCCAGAAGTCAGAGGAAGCTACCTACTTGCAGAAACGAGTCCCGGGGCAGCGAATGCAATGAGTATTGCAAATGGGAGGGACAGAAGTGAGTAGAGACTCTGAATAGGAGGCGTCCATCTCTGATTATGAGCAATGTTTGATTCTAAAGAGGGTAGTCTTCTCACAGATGTGACAAGGGTATTTCTTCGAAAATAAAAAAATTCGAAAGAAAAGAAATAGTCCCCGAAGTTTTACAATGACTTTCGCTATTAAATTCCAGGGGCACGCGGTATCGTAGTTGGTTGAGGCACTATGCTACAAACCGGTAGGTTGCGGGATCGAATCCCGATGAAGTGATCGGAGTTTTTTCAGTTAACCTAATCCTTCCAGCCGCACTATGGCCCTGGGGTCGACTCAGCCTCTAACAGAAATGAGTACCAGGAATATTCTTGGAATGTTCTTGGGGGTAAAGGGCGGCCGGCGCGTAAGGCTGACAACCTTACCGCCAACTATGAGCCGATTGTCTAGAAAATGCGGGAACCTCAACATCTCACAACCCTATCGGCCTTCACGGCCTGTTTCAGGGATACCTTTACTTACTTTACTTACTTACACGATACAAAAGAATATCGTTAACAGATTGCAGGGAAAAACTTTCCACTTGGTCTAGTTCTGTAACCTTCAGATACAACACAGAGCACTAAGTGCACGTTAAGATCATTACTGCAGCCATAGGCACCCATCTTCAAGGAGCAGACTCAGTCCAGAGACGCAGAGAATCCTACAGTTTCTCAGCTAATCACAATATTTATTTGTTCTTTAATGCACGCCGAGGAACATTGCCATGGTCACAAGAATCTCCCGCTGGCCCCAGTCCTGAGCCAGATGAACCGTACAGGAATACTCACACCCTATTTCTTTAAAGCATATTTCAATATTACATTCTACATATGATTAACTCTTTAAAGTGGTTTCTTCCTTTTATGTTTTTAGACCAAAATCGTGTATGCATTTTGTATCTCTCCAGTGCTTTCTCCATGCCCCGTGAATCTCACTCACTTCCATTTGATCACAAAATGATATTTGTTGAAGAGTACAAAGTATGAAGATCTTTAGGGAAAAGTAATTTGACCTAACTACGTATTTGTATAAAGAAATGGAAACTGCTGGATCTGTCCAAAGATGTTAAACAGAATTTGGCGAAGAAGCTCTTCAGTGTTCTAAATCATTACAATACACGCTTAGGTGAATGTCAAAATTACACTGCTAATTTTACCCTCTGAACCATGAGGTTCATTTACATAGTAATTTAACAATTCACTTCCTGACTTAAAGAAGATACACACAGTCTCCATTACGAAGACAAACTTGTTACTAACGTCAGCAAAATAATCGCCATCTGTTCTGTGAATCGTGCTCAAAACTAATCAAACAAACCGTAAAATTTTCGATTTTAAAACAGGTACATATATAACTAGCAACTGTGTTTTAGAAAGTTAATGGTGTACTGGAATATAAAAATTAAACAAATACATACCGCAGTGCGACGAGGGAAACCTGTCCTTCTGTTACCGTATGTCTCCCACTGATCCCTGAAACAATTTTACACCATACATTCAGGAGCTATAAACGCTACCATTTGAAACGAATACGCTGACGTAGGTTTACCATATGGGAGCACGCGGTAGCGTAGTTGGTTGCGGCTCTATGCTATAAGCCGGAAGGCCGTGGGTTCCAGTACCTATGAGGTGGAATTTTTGCAAATAACATAATCGTTCCAGCCGCACTACAGCTCTGGGGTCGACTTAGCCTCTCACAGAAATGAGTATCAGGAATCTTCCGGGGGGTAAAGGGTGGCCGGCGCGTAAGGTTGACAACCTAACCGCCATCTGTGAGCCGATTGTCTAAAAAATGTGGGACCCTCAAAGTCTCACAACCCTATGGCCCTCCATGGCCTGTTACAGGGATACTTTTTAGGATTACCAAATACGATTAAAGACACGGTTTATTTCCGAGTACGCCTATAATGCGATTTCCATGCTGACTGAATTCGCATCAACAAAAAAGAAGTTATGTGAAGAACTAATCGCCTACTTTCCTTAGATACAACTCGGACAGCACATAAATCTACGAGTCCAACAATTCTTCTACTGTTGCGTGTGTATATACTGCGGCGGTAACGGTTTTACCGAGCTGTTGCCTAGCAACGATACGAAGATACACACATACAGACATACAAACTGATGAGAGAGATTTATGAAGTACGCTGTTGAGATGGGCTCAGGTGCAATGATATACATTCCAAATTTCATAAATATTAGTTCAAGCATTCATAAGTTGTTTGGGGGAGGAGGGATTCACAGACAAACAGGCAGCATGTTGATCTCATAGGCATATTTTATGTTCTCAGAATATGGAAAGTAGTCTATAAAACTTGGATTTTGTTAATATATTGACCTGTGAGTTGTATTACGTTGCTTCAAGTTCAGAAGGATTTTATTTCTTAGAGGAAGCATATGTAAATAGATATTTGAAAACAAAGTTAAAGGAACTACCTGGATATAACATAGGTCAATTAAGCGAAATTTGAGAGGGACTTAGCAATTTATAATGTCTACTGTTAGTACAGGATCTAAATTATGACAGATGCGTCAATTCATACAAAGAGGAATGTCGCGATATACACAGGAAGCAATAAAAGTCTATTACTGCATGCTAATCACCTAACTAGAAGAAGAACCAATATCATACTTGTGAAATCTGAGGTTCTAACGGCACTTACTATAAAGATTGCTGTCTTCTTGGATGCCTCTAGTAGATGTTTACCCACGTTTCGGAGGAACGTACTGCTTCAGTCGTCAGGGCAGAAGAGTGTGTACAGTGAACACTTCTGCCCGCGGAATGGAGGGAGCACGTTTCTCGCAATGTCAGTGACAGCGTTTCGTCACGTAGCTACATGTTGCGTCCATCTTCACAGTATAAGTTTCCATGAAAATGGAGGCAGTATGTACCTGCGAAATGTTGTCAGCACTTCGCTCTGCCTCATGGCGCGAAGATCCAACAGGATCGACATCGGAAATGGACATGCAGCGTTGGCATTTTACACACACAGGCTCCGCAGATTCGTGACGAAGCGAGTCTACAGTTGGAACACAAAGCCAAGGAAAAGCTTCAAAAAGACAAGAGACCTATCTGCTTCACCGCTACCTGAATGGTCTTTACAACGAAACATACATCGCCTTCCTTGAATTTAAATTAATTTAAATTTTCTTTGTGCCTTTTTCACACTACTCATTAGTAGAAATATTATCTGAAGCTAGTGAAGTGGTTTCGATTTAACGACGTATTGCAGGTCTACAATAAGCGTTGTTCAATGGGTTTCAATTTTGTTTCCTATGGATCAATTTACTCTCTCCTTAAATGATGTCCAAAAGGAACTTGCAACTATCCCAAAATAGGCTCACTTCAAAAATAAAAATCTGGTATACTCGTATGAAATGAGTTATAAATGTCATAATGATTTATAATTATTATTTAAAACAACTTTCGATATCGTGAATATTTACCTAATACCTGCTCTATGCAGGAACTGTTAAGCCACAAATGCCTCGGGGTACGCGCGCAACGGGTGAGTTTGAGGATTGTATCGGCGCGTTGCTAAGACAACTCTGTGAACGCTTGGATAGAACAACAGTAAATGGGGGTCACGTGACCTCTGAATTTCTGCGTGTAACGTCACATACACCCACCAGCCAGTTGCTACGCAACGCTAGATAAATACCCCTCCACGATAGACTGTGACGTCACGCAACAGTGGAGTCCTTGCCGCGACTGTCGCTGTGCGATCACTCAGTAAACATGTTCCAACAATATAGGCTGTTTTCTACTTGGTCAATGCGGAAGCCATACAACGACAGAGAACACAGCTCGTATTGCTGTGTGATGTCACCTAACACGCGAGAATGTGCTTTGCGCGGGGACCAGAGAAAACTCCGTTCCTGTATTGTTGGACGCGTGTGTGTGCAGGCGTTGCCTAGCAATGGGTCTATGTTTCAGAATATGACTTTCAACGTTGTAATTGATCTGCAGCAAATGAATATCAAAGGCAAAAACAAATTCAAAGCAGTAAATAAAACTTTTGATAAATTAACTTGTTTTCATTTCTTCGCTAATGACGTTTTCCATAGACTAATTAATTAAACAGGCAGGTGGATAAGAAGATATGCAGTTAGTCTGGAAAGTAGCATTCTTTAGCTTCAGTATTTCTATTCGAAATGACGGACCCTTCTTGCTCTGAACCTGATAATATTCCAATCAGCTTATAATCCCCCCTGAATTCAACCCCGCGATGGATGAGTCATGGTAGGGGTGGAGATGAGGAACATTAATCTCCATGCGCCTAATCCTTACTTCGCCCTGCATCATTCATGTGCATAACTGTACAAATTGCTGGAATAAATCACACAAATTACTGTAATAGGTTCTCCATTTTACGTTTATTGAAGTTTTGTGTTGGTACTGACATACGTGTATCGCACTAGGCTCTTTCTTCCTATTTAATCAAAATTAACATCAAAACTGTAATGATCGCATTGAAAATGCAATCTGATATAAAATCTGGTCATACTGAAAACTTCTCACAAACCAGAGTGCTACAACCAGCACAAGGCATTGATTTTAACCGTCTGTACTTATCTCCAAAGGATATAGGAGTTCCCGTAAATCTCGTGAAGCTTACATTGCTGTTGTACGGAATCCTGCTCCTACAGATGTGTTGCTGTTAATGTCGTTATTTGAAAAAAAAACACATTTAAAGTCGAGCAAGGAAATTAAATTTATCTTATGTGCTGGCGTGTTGGACTCGTGCACATCTGGTAGGCCAATTCGACCGAATTCTGGATTGGGAATAATTTCATTGCTTACAAGGGTGCAGCATTATTACTGATACTGCTGTCATCATCACCATCATTGTGAATATACGTGTACATAAGGTAAAGTTGTCCCGCCGGTCACGGTAGCTGAGCGGTCTAAGGCATGTACTGTCTTCGCTCGCTTGGAAACCGGGATCGTGAGTTCGAATCCCTCTCAGGGCATGGATGTATAGTGTGTGTGTGTGTGTGCGATTTCCTGTGTTTGTGTACAGGTATAGGCCTTGCGACGAGCTGATCACCCGCCCAAGGAGTCCTACCGAATGTGTAAGATCTAGAAAAACCGAAGTGAACGGAGAAGTTCATGGAGGTAGGCATAGACCTACTGCGGCTGTAGTGCCAAGGAAAAAAAAAAGTTGTCCCTGTGCTTAACTAATTAAGCACTACGCCATGAATGTGTATTGGGAAGTGGATATATAGATCCATATATTCTTGACCTCGGCACTAGGTGGAGGTGTGGTCAGCTTCACGCCCCTGCCGCTTTACCGCGGGGGAAAGAGCCCCAAGTACCCATTGGATAAGAGGCTGGGTGGGTCCCATAGCCGGTCTGGCCGACATGGAGAAATGTAAATTCTGAAACTATCGGGACTCAAAATCCAACCTTCAGTCGTCCATATTTCATTTCTCGTCCCATGATGTTTCGCCCGATTTCACGCAAGTTGCCTTTGTTTCCTCGTTCGTCATTTGTTTGTGTGTACGTATTTACTGGTTTCCTTCTTTGCTTGTGCTTACATTGTAACTGACCTTTGGGCTATGAAGTAAGCACGCAAATGAATAAAAAGTTGAATATATTATTATATTACGAAGAACTTATTTACGTACAAGTTTCCTACATAAAATTTGTCAGACATAACCTCCTTCGTAAGTCTATTTATCTAAACAGAGGAAAGATGTTAAAATAAATACGACATTACGTCACCACGACCACAGGCTCGCGTGTTCCTAGTGAATTTATAAAAATATTATCGATTTACATGAAACCTGATATGTATTACGTAGTATTACATCATGCCATTAGACACTGTCCCGTCAGTGAACTTTGAATTTCTTACCATGCATGTAACAAGCTGGGGGCTGTGTGAACTTCTGAGATGGGAGCCATACTACCGTCGTTTAATGCGAGGCCCTAACGTTCTGTGTGGTACTGAACTCTCGAACGGAAATTTTGTCCTGGTAATTTCGTTAAAATCCCTTCGAAATAAAATCAGTTAATATGTAATAATCCACTCAAGTTAGGCACGCACAGTTTTCCGTGAAGATGTATCTTAACAGGACTGGTAAGAATGCAGTACATCATGCAGTACAAAAATTAGCAACGATGTTCTTTTAAGATTATTAAACTTACTTTAAAATGGAAATAATGAATTGCAAATTCATGAAAGTCTCCCGCAATGAACATAACAATCTGTTGAAGTGACCTTGGGATAAATGGAAAATTCCACCTCTAAACTTATGTAACCCATCCCATTCATCGATGGCTCTACAGTTCTTCTGTTGGACCCTGGCCCTTTTTCAGTTTCTTAATCTTATACACAGCCGGCAGGACTTTGACGGGGGATAAGTCCGTCCCAACGCCGCTACGTACACACAGGACAACACAAACACAGAATAAACGCACACAGACATCCATGTCACGAGTAGGATTCGAACTCACGATCCCAGCA